TGTGTGTTTGTGTTTGGTGTGTGTGTGTGTGTTGTGTGTGTGTGTGTGTGTGTGTGTGTGTGTGTGTGTGTGTGTGTGTGTGTGTGTGTGTGTTTGTGTGTGTGTGTGTGTGTGTGTGTGTGTGTGTGTGTGTGTGTGTGTGTGTGTGTGTGTGTGTGTGTGTGTTGTGTGTGTGTGTGTGTGTGTGTGTGTGTGTTTGTGTGTGTGTGTGTTTTGTGTGTGTGTGTGTGTGTGTTGTGTGTTTGTGTGTGTGTGTGTGTGTGTGTGTGTGTGTGTGTGTGTGTGTGTGTGTGTGTGTGTTTGTGTGTGTGTTTGTGTGTGTGTGTGTGTGTTGTGTGTGTGTGTGTGTGTGTGTGTGTGTGTGTTTGTGTGTGTGTGTGTGTGTGTGTGTGTGTGTGTGTGTGTGTTGTGTGTGTTTGTGTGTGTGTGTGTGTGTGTGTGTGTGTGTGTGTGTTTGTGTGTGTGTGTGTGTGTGTGTGTGTGTGTTGTGTGTGTGTGTGTGTGTGTGTGTTGTGTGTGTGTGTGTGTGTGTGTGTGTGTGTGTGTGTGTGTGTGTGTGTGTGTGTGTGTGTGTGTGTGTGTGTTGTGTGTGTGTGTGTGTGTGTGTGTGTGTGTGTGTGTGTGTGTGTGTGTGATGTGTGTGTGTGTGTGTGTGTGTGTGTGTGTGTGTGTGTGTGTGTGTGTGTGTGTTTGTGTCTTCCCCCCGGGGAACCACACACCTTTTTAAAAGATCCGGGCCGACTCATCACGTTGGACATCGGGGGGTAATGGCGCTCGTTTTTATTTGGGATATTCACGTTGTGTTTTATTAGGAATTAGTTTTAGGGTTTTATTTTTTTGTATTTGGGTTTTATATAGTTTATTTGGCTATGGGTATTTTATTGGAGGATTTTAACTTAGTTTTATACAGCTCAGGTTATTTTACACCCCTTTGAGTTTTAATGGTTTTATCCAGTGATTTATAAGGCGCCTGATTAGCTCGTTCTATGTTCTGCTGCTGGAGCCACCTGCTGATCTTTATCCTCCCTGCACTTTTTGCACCACACTTTGTTTTCTGCACTGGCACTTTTGGAATATTGGAAAAAAAAAAATTAATAAAAAAATGTGTGGACCAAACCTGCCTCCATCATCTGTTCTGGGGTTTCTCACTGCAGCCGCTCTACCTGCATCACTGCCCACGCTGCACCTGTCCACCTGTCAGTCTGCCCACGCTGCACCTGTCCACCTGTCAATCTGCCCACGCTGCACCTGTCCACCTGTCAATCTGCCCACGCTGCACCTGTCCACCTGTCAATCTGCCCACGCTGCACCTGTCCACCTGTCAATCTGCCCACGCTGCACCTGTCCACCTGTCAATCTCACTCGAGAACAAAACCCCAACAGACTTGAACTCGTCCACTTGAGGCAGAGACTCTCCACCCGCCCGGAGACGACAAGACGACTTTTTCCCAGAACCACGACCTCGGATTTGCAGGAGCTGATCCTGCACGTTGTTTGGTCGTGTTATTGCGTCACATTCTGCTATGCAGCTTTACTTTTCACTCACTCCACCAAATGCCATATGTAGCTTTTTTTTGTAATTTTCGACCGAATATTTTTGGTTGCTGAATATGTGGTGCAGCCCTAATTACAATCCAGCAAACACACAGTTTATATTCTAATAAGGGTTTCTTACCATTGTGTTCAATTAAAGTTTATCTGAAAACTGAACAAATGTCGTTTTAATACAGATAAAAACATCCTCCAGATTCTCCGCCTCCACCGTCAGCCTGAGGTTTAACACCGGTGCTTTCCAACAGTTTAGTGCTTCTTCTTGTTTAGTCCTTATAAACTTGTACAGATCTGTATAACTCTGTCTCCACGACTTGTTGCAGTCGTCTAAACATCTCCCAGTCTAAAGTAAAATCACCAGCTGGAGTGCGATTCCAAGGAACACACGACTTTACAAGTTAAGTAACTGAACAAGGCCCAAATCAGGGTCTAAACAAGGTTTAAGATAACTGCAGACTAATCCATGACTAAACCAGGCCTAAACCAGGACTAATCCATGACTAAACCAGGACTAAACCAGGACTAATCCGAGATCAAATCCAGACTGATTTTTGTGCACACTGACAGACTTTATTCTTGACACAAGTTATGTGACCTGAGCGTCCAATCACAGCGTGGCGTCAGGTGCCTGCTGCGATCTGATTGGACACTGTGTGAAAGTGCAGGTTTGAAAACAGGAAACTTAAACACAAACAAAAACATGCCACAAAAGAGTCATCCATTTTACAAAAATACTCAGAGTTTGTACAAATATAAATATGAACATTTACAGTGACTTCAACTGGACCAACCCTCTCCACTGCAATCAGACGATTCGAAGGTTCAAGACACAGAAACATCGTCCACATGAAGAATTCTGTCACTGAGAGTTTTTAACTAAACACGTAAAGGAACCGTCTGTATCTGAAGGTTCTAGTCTCACCTCAGACCCTGTGTCTCCAGAGTCTTCACCTGCACAGAGACACATCAGAGTTTGTCTGATTCTCAGTTTATGTTCAGGCCTCGTGTGAAACTCAGAACCTCCAGACTCCCTCCTGAGCTGCAGAGGCTGCACTAGCTCTGACTCACGATGGGCTTTAGACATGGAGTAAATCAGTCTTACAGTTGTTATGAGCGAAAGTTATATTTGATTTGAACACGTTATCTCGTATGTGGGGACAAAGTTTTTGAAATTTAAAAATGTAAATCTTACAAACAGTTCCTTTAACAGTTTGGTTCCTCTCGTTCATTTAAAATTTTAAAATGATTTAAAATGGAACATTCATAGATCCTGGTGTTGACAGGTGAAGTTTTGTAAAGACCTGTAGGACCTGTAGGAGCCTCTAGGACCTGTTGTAGGAGCCTGTAGGAGCCTGTAGGACCTGTAGGACCTGTAGGAGCCTGTAGGACCTGTAGGAGCCTGTAGGAGCCTGTAGGAAGCCTGTAGGAGCCTGTAAGACCTGTAGGACCTGTAGGACCTGTAGGAGCCTGTAGGAGCCTGTAGGGGCCTGTAGGGGCCTGTAGGGGCCTGTAGGGCCTGTAGGACCTGTAGGACCTGTAGGACCTGTAGGACCTGTAGGGCCTGTAGGAGCCTGTAGGACCTGTAGGACCTGTAGGACCTGTAGGGGCCTGTAGGAGCCTGTAGGACCTGTAGGACCTGTAGGACCTGTAGGGGCCCTGGGGTCCTGTGTCAGTGGAGAGTTTTCCCTGTTCAGTGGTTAAAGTCCAGTTCAAAGTTCTTCTGGTCCGTGTGTAAACGCAGCAGCAGCAGCAGCAGCAGCAGCAGCAGCAGCAGCAGAATCTGAGGAGTCACGTTCACGTCGAGCTCCGGAACGTCACGTGTGCAAAAGGTTCACGGGGCAGAGACTTTGTAACAGTCGAAGCCGAAGAGCCAGAGGAGTTGAACCAGCAACTTTAGTGTTTTTAAACTCTGAGGTGAAAAGATGAGATGGAAAAGACAGAGGAGCAGAAGAAACGGGTCTGAACCAGGTCTGAACCAGGTCTGAACCAGGTCTGAACCAGGTCTGAACCAGGTCTGAACCAGGTCTGAACCAGGTCTAAACCAGGTCTGAACCAGGTCTGAAACCAGGTGAACCAGGTCTGATCTGAACCAGGTCTGAAGGTCTGAACCAGGTCTGAACCAGGTCTGAACCAGGTCTGAAGCTGAGGATTAAGCCAGCTGAGTTTGAGAGGGGCAGACAGGGGCAGACAGGGGCAGACAGGGCAGACAGGAGCAGACAGGAGCAGACAGGAGCAGACAGGGGCAGACAGGGGCAGACAGGGGCAGACAGGAGACAGGGGCAGACAGGGGCAGACAGGGGCAGACAGGGAGACAGGAGCAGGAGCAGACAGGCAGACAGAGCAGGGGCAGACAGGGGCAGACAGGGGCAGACAGGAGCAGACAGGGGCAGACAGGAGCAGACAGGAGCAGACAGGAGCAGACAGGGCAGACAGGGAGACAGACAGGGGACAGACAGGAGCAGACAGGGGCAGACAGGGGCAGACAGGAGCAGACAGGAGCAGCAGCAGACAGGAGCAGACAGGACAGAGCAGACAGGAGCAGACAGGGGCAGACAGGAGCAGACAGGGCAGGGGCAGACAGGACAGGGGCAGACAGGGGCAGACAGGGGCAGAGCAGACAGGGGGAGCAGACAGGAGCAGACAGGGGCAGACAGGAGCAGACAGGAGCACAGGAGGACAGACAGGAGCAGACAGGAGCAGAGGAGACAGGGGCAGACAGGGGCAGACAGGAGCGGTGGTGTGTTAGTGTGATGAGTCGGGTGCACACACAGCAGAGGTGCAGCAGGGGGCAGCACTGAGCCACTGGTCCGACTCTGAGGAGACGTGTGATCGTCATCGGACCAGGAGCCACAAGTGGCTCAATGTGGAGACGGTTTCAGCTCCAGACGCCGTTTTACATTTGAAACAAGCAGAAACTTTAACTCCACATTCAACAGTTTGAGGAATAAAGATCAACATATTTAAAATAAAATAAAATAAAATAAAAACTTTAAAATAAAGTCTAATAAATACTAAGACTCTCTGGTCTGTTTGACAGGACGGAGAGGAGGAACGAGTGAGGAAGAGGAGAGGATGAAGACGAGAAGATGAACAGGAGAAGATGAGGGAGGAGGGAGGACAGGAGGAGGAGAGGAGGGAGGAGGAGAGGATGAGGGAGGAGGAGTAGAGGAGGGAGGAGGGAGGAGGGAGGAGGAGAGGAGGGAGGAGGGGAGGAGGAGAGGAGAGGGAGGAGGGAGGATGAGGGAGGACAGGAGGAGGAGAGGAGGAGGGAGGAGGAGAGGAGGAGGAGGAGGAGGAGGAGGAGGAGGAGAGGAGGAGGGGAGGAGGGAGGAGAGGGAGGAGGAGAGGAGGAGAGGAGGAGGAGAGGAGGAGAGAAGGAGGGAGGAGGAGAGGAGAGAGGAGAGGAGGAGAGGAGGAGAGAAGGAGGGAGGAGGAGAGGAGGAGAAGGAGGGAGGAAGGAGGGAGGAGGACAGGAGGTCGTGAGGTGGTATCAGAGCGTGCTGCTGAGGATCTCTTGCACTTGAGCGTTCGTTTGGTCGTCTGAGTCCACTTCCTGTGTGGCGACGGCGGCCATCGCTCCCCCGGGCCCCGCCCCTTCCTCTTCCTCCTCTAACTCCGCCCCCACTACCACAGAGACCCCGCCCCCCGTGAAGCCCCGCCCCTCTCGCATGCAGGACGTAGTAGAGCTTTTCTCAGACGCTTCTTTGGAGGCGGGGCCACAGGACAGTTTAGCGGTGTTGTCCGTGAAGATGCGGCGCACGTGTGGGCGGGGCTCACGGCGTCTCTTCTCCAGGACGCAGGAGGCGTGGCTTACGTACGTCACCCCTGGAAACAAAGGTCCAATATTACACAAACTGATGAGATTTAAGTCGTGTTCTAATGTTGTTCCCTCCTCAAAAACAGAACTGGACCTGTGTTTTCTTTCATTCAGTGAGTCTGAAGTTTACAGTGAGTGTAAAGTTTACAGTGAGTCTTAAGTTTACAGTGAGTCTTACGTTTACAGTGAGTGTAAAGTTTACAGTGAGTTTACAGTTTACAGTTTATAGTTTATCGGTTTACAGTTTCACATTAAAATGTTGTTTTGAACTCGCTCTGCATGGTCCTGGGGTTTTTATTTCATTGTTTTCTTTGTAAATCATGATATGAACATAACAGACCAATCAGGCGTCTTCTTTCCCCGAGGTCACTTATGTAAAACAGGTTTGATTGACAGCGTTGCTAAGCGTCACCTTCAACAGCCTCGCTCCTAATTGGCTCTTTAGTTGCTATGATACTCACAGTTTAAAACATGGAACTGGGCTATAAATTGGCCCCTTTAATGACAAGTTTTATGAGCTTCATCCACACTTAGTCCACTTCATGATACAGGAGGATCTGTGGTCTAAACTCATGTCTAAACTAGGTCTGGTCTCTGTCTGGTCTGGGTCTTGTCTCGGCCTGTTCTGGGTCTGGTCTGGGTCTGGTTTGGCCTGGTCTCTGTTTGGTCTCTGTTTGGTCTCTGTCTGGGTCTGAGTCTGGTCTGGGTCTGGTCCTGGTCCTGGTCCTGTACCTGTCCCTCTGTCGCAGGCGTCGCTCTGTTTGGTGTAGACTCCCTCGGACAGCGCCCCCGTGTGGCTCTCTCCGCTCTGCGCTCTGATCCAGCGCTGTGGTCCGCTGAAATACTGCCCCCTGTGGGAGCGAGAGAGCAGCTTCCTCTTGGCCGGAGCCGTCAGAGGTTTGATCGGGTCGGACAGGGACAGCAGCTCCAGAGTTTTAGACGCCTCAGACACAGAGGGCGACAGGGGCGACAGGGACAGGTCTTTGGACGCAGGGATCGGCGGGAGGGCATCTGGTTTAGAGTCTTTGACAGAGGAGGGAGAGAGGTCTGAGTCTGAGGGGCAGGCGCTGTACCTGAAACACACAGACGTGACAAGAGTTAAAGATACACTGTGGGACTTTTCTACTAGTCTCCATAGAGTCGTCTTCTTCCTCCTTCTCCTCCTCAAGTCACAGATGGAAAGTGTGATGAGACGATTCTCCAGTTCTCATCAGAACCACGTCGGGTCCAAACAGTCTGGACGGTGTTTGTGTCGGGGGAGGAACCACAAACCAGACGACAGAAAAGCCACAAGCAGCTGAAGTGTGAGTTTTCTTCCCAAAGACGTAAATATGTTGTGTCTCTGTCCAATCAGAACCCCCCCCCCCACCCCCCCCCCCACCCCACCGATGTTAACGTAATAAACCTCAATTCTGAATTATTTATTTCCATGTAAACTTGAAGGAAAATATTTTAATTTTGAACAATTTAATTCAGAACAGTTAGTTTGGAATAAAAAAAAACGTCATGTAAACGTGGCCACTGTTGTGTTTTTCTTGCTCAGAAACACTTGCAGGAGCAGGGCTGCCTCTCCACAGATCTGACTTGGCCTGGTGACCTGAATTTAAAGCCAGACTGTGGAATATATCATCTCCACGGAAACGTCAAACCTGCTTTTGGACGTGTCTCTCTGTGTCGGTGTCTCTCCTGTCGCTGTTACCTGAGGACGTCCGGCGCGCTGCCCCCGAGTGTCCGCGGCCGGGGCAGGTCCGGGGGCAGGTCCGGGGGCAGGTCCGGGGGCAGGTCCGGGGGCAGGGGTCCGGGGGTGGGGGGGCTGATGGGATTGGAGGGAGGAGGGGGGGAGCAGAGCGAGTCGCGGGGGCTCAGCGGGTCACTGGAGTCATAATCACTGTCTGTGGGTAAGAAGACTTCAGACGAACAGTCCTCATCCGAACACAACTGAGAATCTGAACGAGAAAAGAGGAGGAGGAGAGGAGGGTTAGAGACGGAGAGAGAAGAGAGGGAGCGAAGAGAGAAAAAAAAAGGAGAGGAGAGTTAGAGACAGAGAAAAATAGAGAAGGAAAGAGGAGGAGAGGAGGGTTAGAAACAGAGAGAGAGAAGAGAGGAGAGGAGGGTTAGAGAGAGATAAGAAAAAGGTTAGAGGGAGAAGGGGGGAGAGATAAAAGAGTGAGAAGGAGAGAGGAAGAGGGTTAGAGAGAGAAAGAGAAAGGACAGAGAAATGAGAGAGAGAGAGAGAGAGAGAGAGAGAGAGAGAGAGAGAGGAGAGTGGGAGGCATCTGAGGACAGCTGAGAATCCGAAAGAAAAAGAGAAGAGCAGAGTCAGAGAGGGAAAGGAGAGAGAGGAGAGACTGAGAAAGAGAGAGGACACATGAAGGGAGAAGTGGAGGTTCCACTTTCCTGTTTGCCGGTGACATTTTGAGGCAGATTTACACTTCAGGGGAGATAATATTTAGTTCTTTATTGTTAATCGCTATGGCAACTGTCCTACTCTTTGAATCACTGTGAAACCCACAGAAAAAGGAATGTTTCACTCAGGTGTTTATTAAAAATGACATGATTTTGCTGCACTGGTCTAGACTCAGGCCCTCACGTTCTCAAATCAGAACGAGTAAATATTTTTTAAACTAAAGTCAGTTTTATTTGTCAAAATGTAAAAGGAGGAGGAGTTTGGGGCGACGCCCGAGGACGACAGGAGCAGATCTGAGGCGCCGGACTCACCGCTGCCCGCCTGCCTCCTCCTGGGCTCCGGGGAGGGCGAGGGCGTCGGGAGGTAGTCCATGGTGGAGGAGGTGGAGTCGCTCTTCTGGGTCTGATGCGTCTCCGTGTGGGAGGGCATCAGGGCCAAAAGAGGGACGCCTCCTCTGGGCTGTTTGTACCGAGCGAACTGCAGAGCGTCTGTGAGCCACCGAAGGTCTCGCCTCATCTCGTCCAACTGCTGCAAAGACAAAACACAGTCACTCGTCTGCGTCAGTGACGGGACGGGACACTGTGTTGGTGTGTTCTGTTGCGCCATCTGGTGGTTTCAAAATTAACTGCAGAAGCTTTGACACGGTGCAGGACTCAGGTTCATTCAGACACGTGACACTCATTTGTGATGCTCTGACCTCCGACAAATGAAAGAAAGACAAACACAAACACAAATACAATACAAATATGTGATACATGACGAGGTGAATGTTTGTGAAAATGACAGTAAAATAAAAGTTAAATAATAGAGTTTGTTCTGTGGTGAGTCTGTGGAGTCAGAACAGAACAGGCCTGTGTTCCTCTGTGGTTCTGGGATGAAGAGACACAGACAGATTTGAGTCTCGTGCTTCTCGCTCTACACCAGTGTTTCCCAAACTTTTTTTCTGGGGACCCATATTTTAAAACTCACAAACCTTTGTGACACAATTCAATAGGCATTATTCATAAATCACAAAATAAAGGTGGATTTGAGCATTACTGAATATTAATGAGGATGTTTTATTGTTGACTGAGTGATTGTGTCTCTGAACATTTATTACTCGAGTTTTAAACAATGAAAAAGAGTCAAATATAAGGATCAGTCTCCTGAAGTGCTCTGACCTTTGCTGATTTGTCACTTTCTTTTTGGACCAAGCTGCATTTCTCAACTTCAGCTGCAGGACACTGGTTCAGGGCAGATTCACTGAATCACTAGCGCCCTCATGTGTCAGAACTGTATACTGCACATCTACATGCAGATTGTGATAAAGACCCAACCCTGACACACGGGGAGGGACCTGACACACACGAGGAGGGACCTGACACACACGAGGAGGGACCTGACACACACGAGGAGGGACCTGACACACACGAGGAGGGACCTGACACACACGAGGAGGGACCTGACACACACGGGGAGGGACCTGACACACACGAGGAGGGACCTGACACACACGAGGAGGGACCTGACACACACGAGGAGGGACCTGACACACACGAGGAGGGACACACACACGGGGAGGACCTGACACACACACGGGGAGGGACCTGACACACACGAGGAGGGACCTGACACACACGAGGAGGGACCTGACACACACGAGGAGGGACACACACGGGAGGACCTGACACACACGAGGAGGGACCTGACACACACGAGGGAGGAGGGACTTGACACACACGGGGGGACCTGACACACACGAGAGGGACTTGACACACACGGGGAGGGACCTGACACACACGAGGAGGGACTTGACACACACGGCGGGGACCTGACACACACGAGGAGGGACTTGACACACACGGGGAGGGACCTGACACACACACACAGTCGATGTATCGATCACATGACTTTTGTTAAAGTGAAACACAGAGACACAGATCAACACGAGCATCACCTGCTCCACATGTCAGTGTGTTTGGCCCAACACAACTTTGCACCATCTGAGCATCTTCTCCTCCTCTCCCCTCTGACCCTCTCCTCCTCTGACCCTCTCCTCCTCTGACCCTCTCCTCCTCTTCCCTCTCCTCCTCCCTCTCTCTCTCTTCCCTCTCCTCCTCTGACCCTCTCCTCCTCCTCTCCTCCTCTGACCTCTCCTCCTCTGACCCTCTCCTCCTCTGACCCTCTCTCCTCTCCCTCTCTCTCCTCTCCCCTCTCCTCCTCTGACCCTCTCCTCCTCTGACCCTCTCTCCTCTCCTCTCCTCTCTCCTCTGACCCTCTCCTCCTCTGACCCTCTCCTCCTCTGACCCTCTCCTCCTCTTCCCTCTCCTCCTCTGACCCTCCTCCTCTGACCTCTCCTCCTCTGACCCTCTCCTCCTCTTCCTCTCCTCTCCTCCTCTCTGACCCTCTCCTCCTCTGACCCTCTCCTCTCTTCTCCTCTCCTCCTCTGACCCTCTCCTCCTCTGACCTCTCCTCCTCTGACCCTCTCCTCCTGACTCTCTCCTCTCCTCTCTCTCCTCTGACCCTCTCTCTCCTCTCCTCTCTCCCTCTCCTCTGACTCTCTCTCCTCCTCCGACCCTCTCCTCCTCTTCCCTCTCCTCCTCTGACCTCTCCTCCTCTGACCCTCTCTCTCCCCTCTCCTCCTTCCTCCTCCTCTGACCTCTCTCCTCCCTCTGACCCTCTCCTCCTCTGACCCTCTCCTCCTCTGACCCTCTCCTCCGCTCCTCCTCCTCTGTACCTGTATGTAGTCGAGGATGGTCTGGTGTCTCTGCTTGGCGGTGGAGACCTCAGTATCTGTGATGGCTTCTCTCAGAGCTTGTTGGGTGATGAGTGAGTCCAGGTCGAGCAGAGAGGAGAGGCGGCAGTACAGACTGATCAGACGCTCCTTATACGAACACAGGTGAACTGAGAAAGAGAGAGAGACAAACGTTTAAGACAGTCACATTGTAGTTTGAAAACTTCACATTTAAGCTCTAAACTGGTTCTATCATTGGACTAAACCGGGTTTTACTGAGGTCTAATCTAAGATCTAATCAGGGTCTGTTCCACCAAAGCCTCTTGCTCCTGCCCCAGTCTCACGTCTCATATTTTGTGGTCCTTCTAAATCCGTGTTTCATTCATTCATTTGTTTTTCAATATAAAACCAAAAATAAGAAAACAGAAAAAACCACAATTTTCTTAATTATTTGTCTCCAAAACCAAAATGAAAAAACAGATAAAGATTAGTTTTTTTCTGTTTTCAATTTTGTGTTTAAATAAAAGATGGAAAAAAACGGATAACGGCCGTTTCCCGTTTATGGAACTTCTGTGACTGCGATGCCGAACTTCTGCACCGCAAACGGACTGAACCAGGACTGATCCAGGACCAGGACTGAGACCGAGACCAGGCCGGGACAAAACCAGGACCAGACTGGGACCAGACCAGAGGCTCAGATCCCACGGCAGGGCTGGAGCTCGAAGCTAAGACTCGGAGTCAAAGCTTGGAATCTGCCCTGGTCTCGGTCTGGTCTCGGTCTGGTCTCAGTCCCGGTCTGGTCTTGGTCTGGTGCCCGTCTGGTCCCGGCCTGGTCTCGGTCTCAGTCTGGTCCCAGTTTAGTCCGGCATCGCAGTCACGGATGTAAACGGGAAATGGCCATTATCCGTTTATTCCATTTTTTATTTAAACACAAAAAACTGAAAAAACAAATCATTATCCGGTTTTTCATTTTGGGGACAAATAATGAAGAAAATAAATGTTTTTCTTGTTTTCTTGTATTTAGTTTTATATTGAAAAATTAATGAACGAATGACACACGAATTCTTGTAGCTTGGACTAAACCAGGACTAAACCAGGACTAAACCAGGACTAGAGAGACTTTGGTAGAACATCTGGTGGTTCTTGTCTGGGCTGAAACGGTTCCTGAGTCGTACCGAGCTCAAACATCTGCAGCGGGAGGTGGAGGAAGCCGGACAGGGGGCACAGCGGGTTGGTCTGCCCCGGGGCAGAGCAGACGTCATCGGCCGCTGGGCACAAGAGCAGGAAGGACACGCCGTGACCCAACTCCACCACCTCCTCCGAGTACAACCGGAACCCCCGAGCCTGAAACACACACACACGGACGTCTGAGGGACCTGACACACACGAGGAGGGACCTGACACACACGAGAGGGGACCTGACACACACGAGAGGGACCTGACACACACGAGAGGGAGGAGAGAGGACCTGACACACACGAGAGGGACCTGACACACACACCTGACACACACGAGAGGACCTGACACACACGAGAGGGACCTGACACACACGAGGAGGGACCTGACACACACGAGAGGGACCTGACACACACGACCTGAGGGACCTGACACACACGAGAGGGACCTGACACACACGAGGAGGGACCTGACACACACGAGAGGGACGGGACCTGAGAGACCTGACACACACGAGGAGGGACCTGACACACACGAGAGGGACCTGACACACACGAGAGGGACCTGACACACATGACACACACGAGAGGGACCTGACACACACGAGAGGGACCTGACACACACGAGAGGGACCTGACACACACGAGAGGGACCTGACACACACGAGAGGGACCTGACACACACGAGAGGGACCTGACACACACGAGAGGGACCTGACACACACGAGAGAGGAGACCTGACACACACGAGGAGGGACCTGACACACACGAGAGGGACCTGACACTGACACACACGAGAGGGAGGAGACCTGACACACACCTGAGGAGGGACCTGACACACACGAGAGGGACCTGACACACACGAGGAGGAGACCTGACACACACACCACACGAGGAGGACCTGACACACACGAGGACCTGACACACACGAGGAGGGACCTGACACACACGAGGAGGGACCTGACACACACAGGAGGAGGGACCTGACACACACGAGAACCTGAGGACCTGACACACACGAGGAGGGACCTGACACACACGAGGAGGGACCTGACACACACGAGAGGACCTGACACACGAGAGGACCTGACACACACACCTGACACACACGAGAGGGACCTGACACACACGACCTGAGAGGGACCTGACACACACGAGAGGGACCTGACACACACGACACTGACACACACGAGGGACCTGACACACACGAGGAGGGACCTGACACACACGAGGAGGGACCTGACACACACGAGGACCTGGACCTGACACACACGAGAGGAGGGACCTGACACACACGAGGAGGGACCTGACACACGAGAGGGACCTGACACACACGAGAGGGACCTGACACACACGAGAGGGACCTGACACACACGAGGAGGGACCTGACACACACGAGAGGGACCTGACACACACGAGAGGACCTGGGACCTGACACACACACCTGAGGAGGGACCTGACACACACGAGGAGGGACCTGACACACACACCTGAGAGGAGGGACCTGACACACACGAGGAGGGACCTGACACACACGAGAGGACCTGACACACTGGAGGACCTGACACACACGAGAGGGACCTGACACACACGAGGAGGGGACCTGACACACACACAGGAGGGACCTGACACACACGAGAGGGACCTGACACACACACCTGACACACACGAGAGCCTGACACACACGGGGGACCTGACACACACGAGGAGGGACCTGACACATGACACACACGAGAGGACCTGGAGGACCTGACACACACGAGGACACACACGAGGAGGGACCTGACACACACGAGGAGGGACCTGACACACACGACCTGAGAGGGACCTGACACACACACCTGAGAGGGGACACCTGACACACACGAGGAGGGACCTGACACACACGACGAGGAGGGGACCTGACACACACACCTGACACACACGAGGACCTGACACACACGAGGAGGGACCTGACACACACGAGAGACCTGGGACCTGACACACACGAGGACCTGGGACCTGACGAGGAGGGACCTGACACACGAGACACACACGAGGAGGGACCTGACACACACGAGAGGACCTGACACATGACACACACGAGAGGGACCTGACACACACGAGGAGGACCTGACACACACGAGGAGGGACCTGACACTGACACACACGAGGACCTGGACCTGACACACACGAGAGGGACCTGACACACACGAGAGGGACCTGACACACACGAGGACCTGACACACACAGAGGGGAGGACCTGACACACATGACACACACGAGAGAGGAGGACCTGACACACACGAGGAGGACCACACACACGAGACCTGACACACACGAGGACCTACACACACGAGAGGGACCTGACACACACAGAGGAGGACACTGACACACAGGAGGGACCTGACACAGGAGGGACACCTGACACACACGAGAGGACGGAGAGGGACCTGACACACACGAGACCACACGACACAGGGACCTGAGGGAGGGACCTGACACACACAGAGAGGACCTGACACACACGAGAGGGACCTGACACACACGAGGAGGGACCTGACACACACAGGAGGGACCTGACACACACACCTGAGAGGGACCTGACAACACAACACGAGAGGGACCTGACACACACGAGAGGGACCTGACACAGGAGGGACCTGACACACACACGAGGAGACCTGGACCACAGAGGACCTGACACACACGACACACACGAGAGGGACCTGACACACAGAGGGACCTGACACACACGAGGAGACCTGACACACGAGGACCTGAGAGACCTGACACACACGAGGAGGACCTGAGAGGACCTGACACACACGAGGAGGGCGTCTGGGTCTGGGTCAGGTCTGTGGGGGGGCGTCTGGGTCAGACCTGGTTCAGGGGCAGGTTGATGGTCTTCAGGAGGGTCTTTGTCGCCGTCTGGAGCTCGTAGTACAGCAGAGGGGTGTGGCTTTGGGCAGCAAGTCCCGCCTCCTGAGCCTCTCCACCAATCGGAGTGGAGTCTGAGGACGACGCCGCCAAACTCTGGATCCACTCCCACTCCTCCCTGAAAACACGAGACCGGGGTCAGACCAGGACTTAGACCAGGACCTGGTCTAAGTCCTGGATTAGTCCTGGTTTAGTCCTGGTTTAGTCCTGGTCTAGTCCTGGTTTAGACCTGGTTTAGTCCTGGTTTAGTAGACCTGGTTTAGACCTGGTTTAGTCCTGGTTTAGTCCTGGTTTAGACCTGGTTTAGACCTGGTTTAGACCTGGTTTAGTCCTGGTTTAGTCCTGGTTTAGTCCTGGTTTAGTCCTGGTTTAGTCCTGGTTTAGACCTGGTTTAGACCTGGTTTTAGTCCTGGTTTAGTCCTGGTTTAGTCCTGGTTTAGACCTGGTTTAGACCTGGTTTAGTCCTGGTTTAGTCCTGGTTTAGACCTGGTTTAGTCCTGGTTTAGTCCTGGTTTAAGTCCTGGTTTAGTCCTGGTTAGTCCTGGTTTAGACCTGGTTTAGTCCTGGTTTAGTCCTGGTTTAGTCCTGGTTTAGTCCTGTTGTATAATCCTTTTGCTTTGAAGGCTGCAGTGAAACTTTCATAGGTTCATGTTTGTCATTCTTTACTTGATCAACTTTAAGGAGCCTTTAGTTCGTTCATCTGTCACAAAATAAGTCGCCGTGATATAAAAATAAAATAAATTCTCACTCTTTTCTGAGGTTTGGAGCCTTGAGAATCAGTTGTGTAACTAAAATGTTCAAAGATTACACTTCACAAACTTCACAAAAGGAAAAAGAGAAATTATTCCACTGAAGAGAGAAATGTCACAGTCTGGTTCATGAAGAAAGAAACACTTTTATCCAGCGCTTTTCATTTACAGGTGAAGTGCGCTGCTCAAGGACACAGAGGCAGTGTCCTGGACAGTAACTAATAACTGACAACCTGTGGTTAGTGGGCAAATGCTCAACACACTGAGCCACCGCTGCCTCCTCAACATTTAAGGATTTTTGTAGTAGCAGTAGTAGTAGTAGTAGTAGTAGTAGTAAGTAGTAGTAGTAGTAGTAGTAGTAGTAGTAGTAGTAGTAGTACCTGGACACGTTGCTGTTGTCTCGGACTCGGGCGTGGCAGTAGTAGTAG